GGAACATCTGTCATATAGTTGATATTAAACATATTTAGAAAATAATTTAATATTATTTATTGTATGAAAGCATTGCTATGATATGAATGGTGACTATCGTAGTAGAACAGGCTCTTTCATCAACTTCAATCAATAAGCATTGAAGCTAATTAGTTTGATGCGTTGCAAAGAAAACCCCAAGTGCTGTGCCCCACCAATATTCTATTATGCATGACAATAATAAGATTAAATAACTATTTTATCTTCTTATTTATATGAATAGAAGTTATTCAAATTACATTAATATAATAGATGAACTAGAAAATATAGAACAAGTAATAATAACTGATAATAAAATTAAGAAATGTTGTTATTATTCATTAGAAATACTTAAGCTAGGAATACAATATATCAAAAATAAAAATGTAAATATTAATATAAATGGTGAAAAAGAAAAAGAAAAACACACATAAGACAGGTTTAAGTGTTTCTTCAACAGATGAAGATAGCGGAGAAATTGTTAAAGAAACAGCAGTAATTGAGGTTGCTTGTCCTATGTGCAAAAAGATGTTAGAACTTAAAAATGAGATAGAAATAAAAAATAATAAAAATTGTAAATGTTCATGTATTCCAACAAGTTTCAAAATAAGTAAAAATGATAAGAAAATGAATATTGATAAAACTAAAGACAGTATAAATCTGGAAACGGATGTTCATAATATAACTTTTAAATTTGGTAGGCAAGCAACACCATCCGATAATAATGAAAACAAAACACAGGAAACTGTTAAACAAATGATGAAAAATATATAATTAAATAAATAAATATCTAAATAAATATATAGTAATGTCTGAAAATGAGAATTATACTATTAATGATTTAATGAAGAAGATAACATTAATTGGTAAAAATATCAAAAACTTAAATGATATGATTAAATCCATTGATGACAAAATGAAACCAGTTGAACGCGAACAACAAAGCAACGAAGAGAAGGAGAAATCGAAAAGATATTTCAAGCAAAATCTATAGGAAGACCATCGGGCGACTACCCTACAAAGCAAAAGAAATACTGTGATATGTTGAATACAGGAAAAATCAAACAACCAAAGCAACAAACATTAGAGTTTTATAAAATTACAAAACATGATGATGGAGTATATGTATTATTTGAATAATTAATATCTAAATAATTCTAATAAATGAATTTATTAGAATTATTTAGCGGAACAAAAAGCGTCGGAACCATAGCAAAGTCGCTTGGATTTAATGTAATATCATTAGACTTGAAAAATGCTGATATCAACACTGATATTTTGGAGTGGGATTACAAACAGTTTGACAGAAACCATTTTGATTTTATTTGGAGTAGTCCCCCATGCACTGAATACAGCATAGCAAAAACTAGGGGAATTAGGAATATCGAATATGCAAATAGTATTGTCTTAAAAACTATTGAGATTATCAAATATTTCAATCCTAAATATTTTGTAATCGAAAATCCACAAACTGGATTATTAAAACATCAGGAGTTTATGGATGAGTTTGATTTTAAAGATGTAGATTACTGTAAGTATGGATTTAATTACAGAAAACGCACTAGGCTTTGGAATAACATTACAACTTGGAAACCTAGAGAATTATGTAAAAAGGATTGTGGCAACATCAGGAATAATAAACATATTGAAACAGCGCAACGGCTACCATCGGGCACCAAGGAAAAATGGGGAGACAATCCAACAATACATAAACAGGAAGATTTATATAAAATACCTAGCGAATTAATTTGTGAAATCTTAGTGAGTTTGACGGATTAAGGATTTTGAGTTTGGGGTTGGGCTTGAAACTTGAAATTTCTAGGTTCATCCAACGACAACACAGTAAAAAATAGGAATTCTAAAATTTGAAAATAATGAATTTTAAGGGGAATATCCATAGTTTATCAAATTTAGAAAACACCAATATTCATATAGATATATCAGGAAACTCTCGCCAATTTTTCCTGCCCTGTTTGGCAATTGGCGAGAGTTTCCCCTTATATATATATTATATCAAAAGTATCCCCGCCCACCCAGAAAAGAACCAAACATAGCCACACCCCCAAAAAAACGTCGAGAGGGAAATCCAAAAGGGCAACCTAAGAAACCCAAACACACACGAACTCGCGCCAAACAAGCAATAAACAACACACACACACCCGAAGGCTCCGTGCAAGGCTCCGGACCGGCACAGGTAGCACAGGAAGTAGATACCTGCGGGCAGAAATGTGGCAACAAGCTCAACTGTCTAGAAAACCAGCGCCACACCGCACTCCGGAAAAACACCACACGGCACTCCAAGAAAAAAACGCTTTTCGTCCAAAAGCAATGGATATGCGTAGGTTTCCCACTTGCCAATGCCACTCATCCTGCTCATCCATGGTTCCAAAAGTGCGCACATATGCTCAAAAGAGTGCCCACATATGCTCAAAAGAGTGCTCACATATGCTCAAGGGAGTGCTCGCATATGCTCACAGGAGTGCTCACATATGCTCATGGATGAGTTACGCTGTGCTCAGGAGTGATTGACATAGCATGGTGAAACTCAGCCAAGCGCCATATTATGAGACGCATTCTGGCGAGACTGTGTGGTCATCTTCATTCTGATGCCCAAGGCTACCGAAATCATGTGCTTCAGATTGACAACTTTGAAATTGCCCTTGGCGTCAGCACACTCTGTGGCAATGGCTTCCAACATGCTATCAAGCATTTTGCTCTTGGTGTCTTCAAGGCATTCCATTGTCGACAGAATCTGCTGATACTCGGCACTGTAGTTGATGAGATTGCGCAACTTGACCTGAATGTTGCCCTTGCCGTGGGCAAAGTCATCTCCAATCTCCTCCAAGTCCTTTGTGGAAAGGTTGTCAAGGTGTGTGCCGAAAGACGCACTTGTCATGGCATCAACGCGAGTGGCGATTTCAAGGCTCTTCTCAAAGCCTTCCTTTGACACCACCGCTCTCTGCTTCTTCTTGACAATCGTCCTCTGAACACCTCCGCCTTTCAAATTGACACCCACCACTACCTCTTTGTCTTCCTCAATGGCATACTCAGCAACACGGCGATAGAGCTCACTCATGTGCTTGCCACCATGGAATAGCCTGATGGCGTTGGTTTCCACACCCATGTACTTGGCGACTTCATTGTAAAGGTCATCCACGCTCGTAGTGCTTGTCCATGCCACCGGCACACGCTTTGTCTTGGTGACGCCGTTCTCTGCGGTGATGGTGTAGCGCACAATGATGGTCTTATCCCACAACCCTTCGCTCTTCAAGGTGCTCACCATGCGCTCATAGTCCTCATTTTCATCATTGGTAGGCTTCATAGCCCGCGCCTTTTCCCGGCGAAGCTCCATGAGCTCATGAGAATTCACATTGATACCCGGGCGAGAGTTCAACAACTCCAGCAAGGCAAGGGAAGCTTCCTTGTCTTCCGTCCATACCGATGCCGGACAAGAAGGCTCATCAACCGTAGTGGCTTCAATGTCCTCCTCATCTTCCTCAGGGAGAGACTCTGGCATCTCATCACCGGAAGCACCATGCCACTCATCCAGAACCGAGACGGACTGTTGGCCATCATCGCCAAGCAACTCGTTGTTGTTCCCAGACGTCGGGACATCCAAATCGCTCTCAACCGGTGCCTCATTGCTGGAAGAAGATGGCTGGGTAGGTGTAGCCTTCTTGGCAGCCGACTTGATTTTGGAGAACTGCTTCACCATCTCTTCAGCAAGCTTTTCACGATTTGCCTTGGCGACATTGGTCATCCTGATGTTCAAATTGTAAAGGATGTCTGTCAATGACTTCCTTGGCAACTTTGCCAAAGCTTCGGCAGAAGGCAGTTCAACTTCCAACTGGCTTACATCTGCCACCACCTGACCACTCCGAACCTGAAACGCTTTCACTTCCTCTGAGTTCTGCAAGAAGAAGAGCGCCATGGATGACAGCCCGAAAAAGGGCAAGATAGGATACCGGCACTTGAGTACAAATCAAGCTCAACGGTTCAACATCTGACTCAAGCAACATCGTCTGACACTTCACAGCATGTACTTCTGAGCTCACAAACACGACAGGGCGCACATAACGAAGATGAAGTGGACGAAGTCGTAGCCGGTGCGGTGCCGGTGAGAAACCCAACATAAAATCCTACAAGGGACACCACGCCCCAAAAAAATATATGATAAAAGTGATGAAACGAAGGAGGAGAGTGATGTTGTTGCTGTTCTATTTTTTGTCCGGGAAATGGACAAATCGTTTTTAGACAGTTCGAATATTTTTTTGATGACAAATATTTTTTGCAATATATTTTGCAAAATTTATTTTTTTGAAATGGATGAGGTGAGGAGATTGAGGAAATGACATTTTGAGAGGTATATGATGAAATGAATGAGGCGAGGAGGAAGGAGAAAAGGATGGCGAAAATTTTGGAAAAATGATGATAAAAAAACGGATGAGATGGACAGAAAGGAATGTAGAAAAATGATGAAAACGAATAAGGGTAGAAGATGGAAGATGAAACAAAATGTAGGGTGGGGGGTATGTATGAAGCAATTTATTTGCGGGGCAAGGCCCCCGACTACTGTTTCAAGGGACACCAAGCCAAGCGGACATCCAGGCATTGTGGGCGGATCTTGAAGTTCAAGTAGCCCAAGCAACGTTGTGGAGTTTTGGCAAAACCCCGCGGATTTAGCAGTGGTGGTTTGTTGCTGTGGGGTCCTGGACATGCGGCAGCTCATTGCCCCTGTTCACGCCAAGGTCAAAGGCAAACGCCATCAAACGCCTTCGCGATGGTGAAGCCTGGAAGCGAACTGCACTTTTGATGGCATAGTTGCCGACTACTGAACGAGCCACTGTTTTTGGTGCTCCACCATGCTCCACCCTTCTCTTAGACTCTTGCTGCATGAACTGTTTGGATTCCTTTCTTGCTTTTGGTTTTTGCTTGCTCTAGGGAAAGTTCTCGGGGTTTCCTTGCAAGCCTGCCACTCGCAGATACGACCTGCCACTCTACACAGTGCTGCCCAATCGCGAGATGCTTCTTGACACAGAGGGAAAGACAGTGTTCAGGTTGGCAAAGGCTTGAATGTCCCTGCTGCCATCGGTCAAGTTTTGCCGGTGGCCATCAACACCTTGGCAATTGATCGACAATCGCCTGACTCCTTCTTCGTGTCTTCAGGGCTCAGTTTTCTTTGGTGCATGTTGCTTGGATGTTAGGACTTTAACTGTTTGCCAACTAATGTGCTTTCCCATTTTAAACCACTCAAAGTCAAGCATTTAGCAGGGGAGCAGAAAGCAACCGAGTCTTGGTGTTTTTGCCCTACCGAGGATTTGCACCTACCAGCCGGTTGAGGGCGGCACAGACGACCAGCCCATTTGGAAGAACATCGGCACTGAGCTCCGGCCAGATAGGGGTCCCTGGCACGCGCATGGCCTTGGGTTTGTCGTTTGATGTGTTGACTTAGGCAAACACATGGCAGAGTGAGTTGCGGAAGGTAGGCTTTTGAGCAGATCATGTCATCGTGCCGGGCTTTTGCAACACAGAGGTGGTCAAAGGATGCCACAGTTGTGTATTGGCGTTTCCGAAATCTGATGGACAGTCTGATTAATGCAGTTCTCCGGGATCTGTTGAAACAATCATTCAGTTTCATTCGCTTCAGAGTCGACCTTGGGAATAGAAGGCGGCCAAGGGTCAGAGGTGATCAGGCAGATCAACCCCGAGTTTCAACCATCAATCAGTTTGAGTTCCAACCCTCAGTTGTCCAAAGCCGACCTTTGCGACCTGTTGGTTTTCCCATTTTGGGATCCCGTTTTTAGTCATGGCTCCAAAAGGTTCACGTTGTTTCCATTTTTCGACGAAAGCGATTTCGCTCAAGGAGGCGGAGCCACGGCCAGTGTGGCACCGTGAGTTCCGAAGGGACCTTCCCAGTGACCCGCTCCTGCACACAGATGTCTACGAGGTTAAGGCGGGGTTGGGACATCGAAAGCGGGCCCAAAATGGGACAAGGACAACAAGGGGGAGTTGGTAGGTTCTGATGTGAAGGATTCCTCAAGATGCCTGCTTTCTGTTGTGTAGGCAGCGGGGGGACAACCCCCAGCCAACCTTTCAACCTCACAGGATGCCTTGCTCCCAATTTTGACCGGAGTGTGATATGTCACAAGGACTTGGCAAGGATAACCAAGAGCCGGTGTTTCCACATGTGTGCACACACGGGTTGCCAATCACACTCTCAGAGCCCCTAGTGCGAAGCATTGGCCGACTAGCTTGCCCTTTTTCAACATCACAGTCCTTGCGCTGCAAGTTAAAGTTGGCCGGCTGCGTTTTGGATGGTGACAGCAGCCGACATTGTTGATGGCTCCTGCGTTCTGCGTGCAAATGTTTTAAAAGGGTTCTAATTTTCTTTGCTTCAAACTGAAAAGGGGGAATGGTAATCATCCTTTCAATCGCTTGGCTTAACCTGAAGTCACCCTCATGGCCCTTCGCCAATATGGAATGTGCATGCGGCAAGTATCTTCTAGCAGGGGCCACCTCTTGAGACGGAAGTGGGATGGGGTAAGAGTGAATGCGTCCTACATGCATGTCTTGTGTCCTTCATGCCGTTTGCAATCGGATGTGTGATGCAGGTGTTTTTGTGCCTGGCTGCTGCTTGACTTTGGCATCGCTAGGTCAAGGTCTTGTACCTCCCTGGCATCCTGAATTTGAAGGTGGTCAGCATCCTCTCCCTGGCGCAGCAGCATGAAAGATGTCTGGTTTTGCCGTATACCTTGTGCACAAGTGCAGTACTCTTGTGTGTAAGGTGTGGAACAACTGGGACAACATGAAGGTCTTCTCCAAGATGCCCATCCGAGCAGTCATTGCAGGCTCTATCTGACATATCTGACTTAAAACATGCATGTCCACTCCTGTCGCCATGCGTTAAGTGGTCTGGTCCTGGTGAGGCATGTGGCATCGCCACGTGGACTTGTGGCGTTTCTGCATGTTCTGGCTGTTCTTGCTGCCGCTTGGCATTGAAAGCAACAAGGCGTAATTATGCAATTCATGAGGCAGGCATGCGTACGTACTTACGTGCTTCTTAGTTACGTACTTACTTTCACGCACACAAGCACAAGCACACACACACAACACGAACACCAAAACACACAAACG